TATTATCTTGAAAAAGTACTTATTTAAAAAAAACATATATATATATATATATATATATATATTTTTTTTTTTTGCTACCACAGGTATGCTAATATTTTTTCTACTGGGAGAAAGTCTTATTTGTTTTATTTCGAATACATTTTTCAAGGTCAATATTATGAGCCTCTTTAAGCTTTTTTTTTTTTTGGCATAGTCTACAAAACAAACCATCGTTATACAATAACTTGCCTAATTACCCTAACCTGCCTAGTTAACCTAATTTACCTAGTTAAACCTTCAAATGTCACTTTAAGTGGTATAAAAGTGTCTTGAAGAATATCTAGTTAAATATTATTCACTGTCATCAGGGCAAAGATAAAATAAATCAGTTCTTAGAAATGAGTTATTAAAACTTTGATATTTAAAAAATATGCTGAACAAATCTTCTCTCCATTAAACAGAAATTGGTGGAAAAAAATTAAAAAGCGGGCTAATAAATCAGACTTCAACTGTATATAACACATAGTGTGATGTTGTAATATACAATGTATGTTTTTGTTGAAATGCATGATGTAATAATAGTACAATAATACTGTATATAACATAATGCAATACTTTATTCCTTTGGTAGTAAAAAAAAATATTTGTTTGCATATTGCTCCTTGATCCAGAAAACTATAATTTTAATCAAAGCCTAACCGTACGTTCACACCGAAAGCGGCGAGAGCGTCAAAGTAGCCGGAAGTCATTCATTTTCAATGAGAGCCTGCGGCGATATGCGGCGATAAGCGGCGAGGAGCAGCGCGGCGCGTCTTCGCCGGCGTGAGCGTCGAGGAGAGTTGAAATGAAGTCAACTTTATGGTAATGAGCTATGACGCGGTTTGGCGGCAAGCAATCAGAATGAAGACGTCAACCGCTTGATAGCAGTTTAGAGAACACAGACCTGTGAACTTTGGTTCCGACCAGTTGTTCCCAAGGGTTTGATTATTGCGGTCGCCGGATTTCCAATTATTTAAACTTTTTTCCCACAGGAACATACATTAAATAAGTTACTGGCAAGTTACTGATTTTCATTAATGTTATATAAATTTATCTTAAAAAAGCGGGAATCTCACGCGATGTGACAGTACAAAACAGTACTGCTGCTTCAGGATATTTCAGACATATGGACACATATTGGATAAACAGAGCAAAGTCACACCACATGCAACTTAATCTTCCATTGTTGTATGAATTTGATAAGAAGTGCGCAACATTTTTCACGCTAGAAACATGTTTTATGCAGGAATGTAACTGATATGCTGCAACGGCTCCTTTAAATATGAGATCAATGTAGCGAGTTTTGACGCTCTCGCCGCCGGAGCTGAAGGCAGAGAGCGTTGTCGCCAGGGCGGCCAGAGCGACCTTGGACACTCTCGCCGCTTTCGGTGTGAACGTACGGTAACGTGTCACATTTATTTGCAATGAACCAGTTGTCTAATTAAATCTATTCTAACTTATATCTTATTTCTACCTGTAAAAGTAGCAGAGATTGGTAGTAAAAAACAGCTTGAACTCGAAACACTGTAGAGAAATCAAACTGATTGTACAACAGACATATAGAAAGATAGTTTCTAATTGCTTGAAATGTAATGTGATGTACACTTATGTTCAAAAACTTATTATTGTTAAAATATAAAAGCTTAATATTACTCATATATTGCAAGAATTCTATTGTGTTTGATTTGCTCATAAATTAAGTAGATTTTATTTGATTTGAATTATTTGAATAAATTATTCTTTATTTATTTAATTTGCCTATATTATTTCACATTATTCCAGTTTTTACTAAATATTTGATCAAATAAATGTAGCCTTGATAAACATACTTAAAACAAACAAAATACATTGAGCAGATCGCAAACCTTTGAACAGTAGTGTACATATTGCCATTGTGAACACAGTGTTTTTAATGAAATGCTTTTTGTCTTGCCCTTTTTGAGTTCACCAAACCAAGATTTTCCGGATCCCACATTGCTGCAGCAAAGCCAAATCTTAGTGTGGCTAGAAGACCATCACAGGCTGATGTCCAGCCCAGTTCAGCAGTGTGTAGTGCTTCTACACCAAGCACGGCTGTAAGTATTGTCATAATCCACATAGCTTTCTGAGAGAATTTGGTATAAGCATTTGTTTTACGTAAATTCGTATTTTTATTAAGTACAGTCACATTAAATCTCAATAAAACATCTCTGTAGTATTCTTTTAGTGCATAAAAACATATATATTAAAAATAAGCACCATTCTTTAAACTTTTTGTTCTGCATAAAAGCGCTGTGACAAAATTTTACAGTTTAGCAGCAATCATTCATTTCCAATGTATTTTATACATTGATGTTCAAATAAATTAATGGTTGCAAAAAATTCGGATTAGTTAATGTTACTTATAGATATATATTTACAAAATGCACTTTGTTATACTGCTTGTTTGTACAGACACAGGACCTTCAAGTTTCTGCCCCCGTCCTCACATCCACTACGGCAGTGACCAGTTCCACAGAGCCGTCCGGCATTGTCTCAGTAAGTCATTTCATATTTTCTGTCCAAAAAAGGTAATTTGGTTTGCATATTTGCTGCCCCAGCTGAATTCACACAAAGTGGTTTTAAGACCAGCCAATTAAATTGACTTGATGTTAATTAACTAAGCTTGATATATGTATAAATGTTAACAAAATAAAGAGAGGAAAAAATAAAGCAAAGAATCACAAAAATTATGCCTGTTGTTGTTGATATTTTATGTTCACAGTAGTAAAAGAAAAGAAAATGGATGGAAGAGAAGTAGAAAGGAAAAAGAGAAATAACTGTATTGGAAAATACTTTTGCTTCTTTAAAGAAAATGTTTATTGGTGAAATTCTATTAATGATTTTTGGAATTGAAAAACATAATAAGGTATTTAAAAACAATCACTTAAAATCAAAGGTATTTAGATTATAATCATGATATCACGTGAGGGTACTCACTCAAATATGTAAGGTGCATTTACATTACCAGACTAAAGGTTTGATCTATTTTCCTTCACAGACTGCACCTTCTGGGTCATTGTTGCAAGCTCCATCAGCTGTTCCACTTCCGCGCCTTTGGGCTGAAACCTTGCCACCAGAGGACCACAAGTGGATTGCCAGCAGGCTTTTTAAAATGGGGTCCAAAGGAAAGCCAGAGCTTCGAGACAACCTCCAGCTCTGGTATTACCCTCCACAGCCTGCACTTACATACAATCAGGCTCCAGCTCCAGACAGATTTTTCTGTCATTCACTTTTGCTGTGGATGCCATACAAGCTGTGGAGGGTCAAAGTCCTTTGCCCTAATCCTGCATGTGGACAGCATCAGCTGACAGGTGGAGGTCTGCACAAAAGGGCACGGCAGGTTCTGGACATCGACAGGATGTACAACATGGTTACAGAAACCCTCATCTGTACCAAGTGCAAAGCCTCGCATGTGTCCTGGAGTCAGACTGTCTTGCAGCAGCTGGATCTTGGCCATCGCTCAGAGTTTCGGGTCATTCTCACACAGAAGTGAGTAATTGAACACCTTTATTCCTCGTGCAGTTGTTAACCTATCATCACAGATATATGAAAATACTTTACAAATTATATATATATATATATATATATATATATATATATATATATATATATATATATATATATATGTTTATATCAATATTCTTCTGTTCCTAAGGTACGCCTGTGATATAAGAGTCATTCGCCTACTGCGTGAGCGTGGACTAGGCAACAGCCCCACAAGGGTCATCAAACAACTGAAGGAAAACCACAGTGAAGAGTGGCTCCAGCGTCTAGCCCGCTACACCACTCAGTGTGTGGATTTCCTCAGTGGACCTGGGGTGTTGCCGATCACCTTCCAGGAGCCCCCAGCACCTACAGTTGTGCCAAGCTGCAAGTGGCTCCTCACTGTCTACAGCCAGGACATCTTGACAAGGTTGAATGAAATCCATGCCAGGATAACATCGACCCATGGGTCCATCTTGAAGATGGATTCAACTAAAAAGGTTAGTGGATATTCATCAATTTATAATTTCTTTATTATATTCCAGCATTGGTAAAAACCCTTTGTGTAGTCTGCTTGATCTGACGATACACCATGGTTCTTCTCTTGTCTAATCTAGATCACAAAAAAGCTGGCCGGGACAGCAAAAGGAACAGGACTCTGGCTCACCTCTGTTGGCAATGAGTTTGGTCAGGTGCTGATAAGTGTGCTCACTGCCCAGGAAGGAGCAGGACTGGACAGGATGGTGGATGGGCTGGTCAGAAGATACCAGGAGGCTGGGGTGGATCTACCTGCTGTTTTGTATGTGGACTGTGGGTGCTGCACTGATGTGGGTGAGACCAAACTCAAAGCCAGGTTCAGAGGATGGCCGGAGTTGACTGTGAAATTGGACATCTGGCACTCTATGCGCAGGATTTCCGTGGGATGTACAACTGATGCTCATCAACTGTATCCCATCTTCATGTCACGGATCTCTGCATGCATTTTTGAATAGGATGCGGCTGATGTTTCTTTGCTACGCCAAGCAAAGCGAGCCCTGTTGATGTCCCAAGGTTGGCCTGCGTTGACAGATGCTGATGTCAACAAACATCTCACCAGGGAGGAGCTGGCTCTCCATTGCCGGAGGAGGACCCGTGGGGAGGAGACTACCATCCTTTTACTTAAACAGCTTCTTACTGAGTTCATGAGCAACAAGGGCAATGACTCGCTGGGCGTTCCTCTTTTAGACAAGGAAAGGATGGAGCACATCTGGAGTGTCCAAAAAAAGCATATAAAATTCATTCAGGACCCCCCTGGTGTCGTGCTCTACACTGAAACGGGGAGCATAACCAAGGGAGATGTTCTGCTACGGACCTACAGATGTGCCAGGGGCTCCACGTCTCTCGAGTCTTTCCATTTACACCTCAACCGTTTCATCCTAGGTATGATTCTGCACAAACATTGTGTAAAAACGCATTAAATGTCTTTGTGTGTTTTTGTTTTTTAATTAAGTCCTAAACATTGTTTTTAATATTTACAGGGTACAGCGCAAATAGTCTGAACTTTCAGATTTATTTGCTGGAGGGACTAAACAGGTGGATCCAGGACCGGGAGGCTGCTTCCTTGGCATCTGAACCATCAGCTTTACGCAGCTACACAGGAGAACTTGTTTACTGTGTAAACTGCAACTTTGAAAAGCTGTTTGGGAGAAAAGTGGTGCCCAACTTTTGTCCGCCTGCACGTTACACTGGTAAGAGATTTTGCTATTGTTAATAAACCTGCAATTTCTGTGTTCTCTCCATCTACTGTATCCAGTTTAATACAGTAGGTCAATGTTCATGAGCTTTGTGCTGTGAAATCTTTGCTTGTCTTTAAATATTTGTAAGAACAAATGTATTGTTTCATGACTACTTACTGAAGTAAAGCAAGATACAAAATTATTATTACATTATTATTACGTCATTATCAAACATAATGCTACAAGCTTTGAGGGAAATTTATTTGTACATTTCTCTGTCTTCGTTGTATTTCCATTGCATTTCATTAGATGTTTTGTCCAGAATATTTACATTTAGTCATTTAGCAGACGCTTTTATCCAAAGCGACTTACAAATGAGGACAAGGAAGCAATTTACACAACTAAGAGCAACAATGAATAAGTACTAAAGGCAAGTTTCAGGTCTGTAAAGTCTAAGAAGGGAAGTGTTAGTAGTTTTTTTTTTTTTTTTTTTGTACAATTAGTGTGATATTCAAAGAGGCAATTGCAGATTAGGAAGTGAAGTGGAGACTAAATAGTTGAGTTTTTAGTCGTTTCTTGAAAATAGCGAGTGACTCTGCTGTTCTGATGCAGTTAGGGAGTTCATTCCACCAACTGGGCAGATTGAGCGTGAGCGTTCGCGAAAGTGATTTTTTCCCTCTTTGGGATGGAACCACGAGGCGAAGTTCATTCACAGAACGCAAGTTTCTGGAGGGCACATAGATCTGCAGAAGTGAGTGCAGATAAGAAGGTGCTAGGCCAGAAGTCACTTTGTAGGCAAACATCAGAGTTTTGAATTTGATGCGAGCAGCAACTGGCAGCCAGTACAAACGGACTAGCAGCGGAGTGACATGTGCTCGTTTAGGTTCATTGAAGACAACCCGTGCTGCTGCATTCTGGAGCAGTTGAAGAGGCTTGATAGAGTTAGCTGGAAGCCCAGCTAGTAGAGAGTTGCAGTAATCCAGTTTGGAGAGAACAAGAGCTTGAACAAGGAGTTGAGCTGCATGTTCAGATAAGAAGGGTCGGATCTTTCTGATGTTATAGAGTGCAAATCTGCACGATCGAGCAGTTCTAGAAATGTGGTCAGAGAAGTTTAGTTGGTCATCAATCGTTACTCCAAGGCTTTTCACCATTTTGGATGCAGTAATAGTTGCCCCATCCATCTGGATTGAAAAGTTATGGTGTAGAGTCGGGTTGGCAGAAACTACAAGCATTTCCGTTTTTGCGAGGTTCAGCTGAAGATGATGATCTTTCATCCAGTGTGAAATATCCAACAGGCAGGCTGAGATACGAGCTGGAACGGAGGGATCATCACGATGAAAAGAGAGGTATAGCTGGGTGTCATCAGCATAGCAGTGGTAGGAGAATCCATGTCTCTGGATGACTGGTCCTAGAGATGATGTGTAGATGGAGAAGAGAAGTGGCCCAAGAACAGAGCCTTGAGGTACCCCAGTGTTTAGATGCTGTAGGTTGGACACCTCTCCCCTCCAAGACACCCTGAATGACCTGTCAGAGAGGTAAGATCTGAACCATTGTATAACAGTGCCCGCAACGCCCAGTGACTCAAGCGTAGATAGCAGGATCTGGTGGTTGACAGTGTCAAAAGCAGCTGACAAGTCCAGCAAAATGAGGACTGATGATTTAGAGTCTGCTTTAGCCAGTCTGAGATCCTCCATGACCGAGAGCAGGGCAGTCTCAGTTGAGTGGCCTTTCTTAAAGCCGGATTGCTTGTTGTCCATGAGATTGTTTTGAGTAAGAAAGTCCAGGACTTGATTGAACACTACTTTCTCCAGAATCTTGGCCATGAATGGAAGCAGGGATACTGGTCTGTAGTTTTCAAGTAGCGTATGGTCCAGGTTGGGTTTCTTTAGCAGTGGGGTTACCCTAGCCTGCTTAAATGTAGTGGGGAATAAACCAGAGTCAAGAGATGTGTTAATTATGTGAGTCAGTGTTGGTATGACTGCAGGAGAGATGGCTTGCAAGAGATGAGAGGGAATGGGATCGAGTGGACAGGTGGTTGCATGGCTAGATAGCACAAGTTTGGACACCTCAGACTCAGAGAGCTGAGAAAAAGAGGTGAGTGTGTGTGGTGTTGGTGTTGTATCTTGCGTGTTTGTTGTAGGTGCAGCAAATTGAGCACTGATTTTTGCAGTTTTGGTGCAGAAGAATGTAGCAAAGTCATCAGTAGTAAGTGTGGAGGATGCGGGTGGAGGAGGAGGATAGAGGAGGAAGCAAAATGTTTTAAAATATTTATTATGTTTTGGATCTCTGATTCAAATGTATGTTTTTGTTTGTTTCTTCCTTGGCGTTGAGCTTTTAAAACTACTTGCTACTTCAACACCCAATCAAACATGGCTCTTAAAATTTGTTTATTTATGTTTCATTTATTTTTTTCAGGTGAGCTCATTGGAGTGCAGTATCTGTTCCAGCAGACTGGTCAGGCACTGCAGAACATGAACCCAGACTGCTGAGCTCATTGAGGATCTCAATGTGGATGAGCGAGAAGAAGATGAGGGCTTCTGTGACATCAGTGAGGATCACACTATTGTTGATCCGGAGGCTGCTCTGTCACCATCCTCCTCCACATTGAGATCGGGTTCCTCCACTGCAGTCACCAGCAGTGTCGCTTCTTTGCCAGTCTCCACATGCCCTGCACTGGTCCCTGACTCACCTGCGCAGCCTGAAGAACCAATTTCACCTGTGCCCTTAGAGCCAGAAGAGGCTACGGAAGATGATGACGAAGACAATGATGATGACGACAATGATGATGGTGATAAAGATACTGTAAGTCCCACTAATTTCTGTCTTTACAATGATCTAGAATAATTTTAAAATAAAGTGTAAAGTCAAACACGCATCAGGTTTATTTCCGTAGTGCAGCTTCAACATGATAACAGAAACAATTATGGATTAAACAATTTAATGTGCTATTTTTTTTTTTTTTTTTTTGTGCTTTCATTTGGCTGTTGACTACCAAAATATTCCGGGCTTCCAGCATGTGAACAGGCTGGCTGAATATCTGGTTGGGCTTCGGACCCACAAAAGCCTCAGCCTTATGGAGACAGATTAGACTCAATAATAATTCACGCAAAAGACACGATGTACACATGCGTAGCCAAATTCACGTGCATAAAATGAAATTCACGTGCGTAAAATATTTATTTATATTCACAAAAAAATTTCACGTGCACAGAATAAAAATACATTTTCATAAAATACGTTTCACAAATGCAAAACACGATTTGCAATTGTATAAGAGTGTACAAAAAGTTTGAATGTTTAAAACTTGCGAGTTCATCCTGAATGAGAATGTGCTAATCCTCTTTTACGTACGACTCCCCCTCGATACGTGTGTGTGTATTATTGAGACTTTCCTGCCAGAGTCAGGGTAACTCGTACCTTTCAGCCAATCAGATGAGAGCTGTAGTCAATGACACCAACTCTGCGCTTCATTTGCGCAGACTGTTTCTCTCCAGCATAGCGAACGGAAAAAACAGCAGTCGGAGTTGCACTTTTTTCATTTATTTAATTGTAACCCTGTGGTATTAACACCATTTATGTGTATGCAGATACCATTACAAAATGATGTGTATGTTCCTTTAAGAAATACGTGAAAGAGTATTCAGCAAGCTTGGTTGAGATGACACAGGTCTAGCATAACAAATGCTATGTGGGGAGATGCTGTTATCTGATTGGGTGAATTAGAGAGTGTGTTTTTGCTCCTCCAATCAGGAGTAAAGAGGGGCGGGAGAAAAAAAGATCGGGAGAAAGAGGAAAAAAAGTCACACGCAGTGCGTGAGAGATCGGGAAGTTTGTAGATTTTAGACCATAAAGTCTGTTATATTCCCTTTAATTTTAGATTTAGTGAGTTTAGCAGCGCACACGTTGCTAAAAAGAAACGGAAAGAAGATCTGATTTGTGCAGTGAGTGAGAAACAGTTTAAGTTTGTCCTTTGTATATGGAAAGTTCTTTACAGGACTTTAATCACCAAAATTAGTTCGAAACCCTTACGAACTGAAAACTGTGACGTGAAGAACGAACTTGCTGGAAGCATCACGGTGAAAGGAAGCACACCTAACAGCTGTGAGTGTTGTGGGCTACACCAGTCTGCGAGCATCGTTGGACAGCAAGTTTGGCGTTGGATGGTGTCAGGTTACACATGCGTGAGCCTCGTTTTGTCATCTTATAAGTAAGGTACCTTTATTTTATTTGCTCGGTTGAGCGAAGGGGCCATTTGTTTGTTTCTGGGCCACACCGAACTCAAGCTGCACATCAGGCCTGCAACGGGGTGGGATTGGTGTGTGTGTGTGTGTGTGTGTGTGTGTATATGAGAGTGTGTGTGTGGATCCACATATCCCTAAAGTGACTTGTTAAAAGGTTTTTCTTTCAAATTCTCTGTCATAACAGTAGTTCATTTATATTGTTAAAGTCAGCTTTACGGGAGTTATAATCTATTGTTTATTTCGGGTTTTTGTTTTAGAGTAGCAAATTTACTATTGAATACATAAAGAGATAGCTTTAGGAAGAGATTTTAAATTATAAAAGCATAAGGGAACAGGCATATACAATTACTGTGTTTAGTTTAATAATAGGAGAAACGCATTGGTTTATTGTCATATTCTGAGTATTTTTGTATTCCTTAAGTGATTTTTGTCTTTCTGTGCTGCATCTGAGCATAGAATTGAAACCTATTGGATGTAAATAATACATTTTTATTAAATTTTTCTACATTATTGATTGATATTGTTTTTATTTATGTAAAATACCTTGAATACACTTTTATAGTTAATCCTTGTGGTTTTGGGTCCTTATTTTGTCTCTTGTTGGTATTTGTGTGATTAGTAAGTGCAGTACATAACTAATATTAATCTAAGTTAAACGTGTTCAGGTTAGTCCGACAATCAGTGGATATATAAAAGTAATCTTGTGAACTCAGGCCCTTTTATCAGGTTCTTTTTATCTGGAGTCTAGAGGTAAAAGGAAAAAGGGTTACATAATTATTTGTCCATAGCCTCACTCCTTTTATCCATTATTTTGCCGCAGCTCCGCTCTTATTTATTTTCTCTCAGCCTCATGAGCGGAGTGTAGCCTGCAGAATGATGAATTATCATTCCGGCGACTTGAACATAGCAGTACCACTGTGGTCTAGCGGTCAGTATGTTGCATAATCAAGTCCCCGACCCGGGTTTGATCCTCACCTGGCTTAAGCTTTTTTTTTTTTTTCATTTTTATTGTTAAGACATATAAAACTGTAAGGTTGTTGAACATTTGAAGTTCCAAAGCAGCTGTTTTCTTCAAAAAGACTTGATAGTGTAATTAGAAACTGACTTGGAAATGACTTTATTTTAATATAGTCAGTCATAAACTGAGGTGGGCCGGTCAAAGGCTTGAAACTCCAGGGCTGAAAAGGAGTCCCACTCCGGCCCTGATTATATCCAATAAATGTAAACAAGCTGCTGTTGTGCTTTAGTAATATAATATGTAGAATATAAATATAACATTAATACTTTTCGGAATATTTTTAACACAAATCGAGCCTCTGGGATCATTTCAAACATGTTTGATGCCCCTCAGGATTTTAATCCAACTTACAGCCGGATCACCGAAGAGAAGAGCTGAGGAGAATCACGTCAGTTTTAATAAATTAGGTTTTAATTTTTTTAAGTCTATAGAGACTTTGCAGAATAAAAATGCTTAATCATTCCAGTAGGTGGCACATACAGATCAGTAATGAGAACCAGTGATGAGACATTCCAAACGCATACATAAGCAAAACAGAACACACGACACTACCAAAATAAAACATTGTATTTAATGCTGAAAGAAGGTCAACCAGTTTAACATATCATACAGCATTCACAATAGCCTTATTAATTTAATTAGGCTATAATGTCCTTGACCACCGGCAAATCAGAATGTTCAACTGGACATCACTATAGTTCTTTGTTCAGAGTCGCTGCCTCAGTCAATCAAATCCAGTCAAATGAAGATTACAGCTCAGACTACATTGATTTTAACCCGATTTATGCCTGATTTTCACCTTCTGGGAAAAGGAGATAAATAAGTTTACTACAGCTCGTGATAAGCAATAAAACACTTAGTTTATGTTGTCATATTTTCATTGTAAATTTTTTAGTTTCTAGTTTAATAAACAAAAATATACTCATAAGCATCATTTAAAATGATTATTTATATAATTATTACGGAATGATAGGGTATATTATACATATTATATTACTAAAGCACAACAGCAGCTTGTTTACATTCATTGGATATAATCAGGGCTGGAGTGGGACTCCTTTTCAGCCCTGGAGTTTCAAGCCTTTGACCGGCACACCTCAGTTCACGACTGACTATCTTAAAATAAGGTCATTTCCAAATCAGTTTCTAATTACACTATTAAGTCTTTTTAAAGAAAAAAGCTGCTTTAGAACTTCAAATGTTCAACAACCTTACAGTTTTATGTCTTAACAATAAAAATGAAAAAAAAAAAAAAAAGAGTTAATCTCTGGTGAGGATCAAACACGGGTCGGTGGCTTGATAATACAACATGCTGACCGCTAGACCACAATGGTACTGCTGTGCTTGCATTGCCAGAATGATATTTCATCATTCTGCAGGCTACATTCTGCTCACGAGGCTGCGAGACAATAAATAAATAAGAGCGGAGCTGCTGCAAAATAATAGATAAAAAGAGTGAGGCTATAGACAAATAATTAAATAAATGAAAAAAAAAGTGCAACTCCGACTGCTGCTTTCTCTGTTCACCATGCTGGAGAGAAAAAGTCTGCGCAAATGAAGCGCAGAGTTGGTGTCATTGACTACAGCTCTCATCTGATTGGCTGAAAGGTACGAGTTACCCTGCCTCTGGCAGGAAAGTCTCAAAAATACGCGTATCCAGGGGGAGTTGTACGTGAAAGAGGATTTGCACATTCTCATCCAGGATAAACGCGCAAGTTTTAAACATTCAAAACTTTTTGTACACTCTTATACATTTGCAAATGGTGTTTTGCATTTGTGAAACGTATTTTATGAAAATGTATATTTATTTTGAGCACGTGAAAATGTTTTGTGAATATAAATAAATATTTCACGCAAGTGAATTTGATTTTATGCACGTGAGTTTGGCTACGCATGTGTACATCGTGTCTTTTGCATGAATTTCTTTTGAGACTAAACTGATTCCATATTCATAGGACATGGACCTTCAGCATGCAGAGGGACAATTTGCTGCTGAGTGTGACATGGCAGGGAAAGAAACAGCACCTACAAGTCAGAAACCACTGTGCTTGACTTGAAAAAGGTGGCCATCTCCAGTTTGGTGAGATTAAAAGATGGATCAGTGCAGCAGCAGCAGTTATGCAGTTGATGTGATTGTCTGTTGTGGTGAAGGAGCTGAGACGAAAGGCAATGTTCTCAATTTACCGCTCAATATAGGTTCCTACTCACACCTATGATCATGACTGAAAGGACAAGATCTCGGACACAACCAGACACATTTTACAAAGTGTTATGACCCGCTTGTTTGAGTCGCAACATAAAAGAAAGATGAACCAACAAAATAGCCTGAAGGCAAATTATTTATTATAAAATGCAACTCATAGAACAATCAATCAAAGCAACCAACAAATGTCTAGGGATACTAATGAAGATAAAGAACTTAGAATATAATCAAAACAACACCATAAGGTTAAAGAGTCAATGAGATGGCAAGTCTTGACATGAGGACTCCTGAGTAGCCACAGCGTCCTGGGGTAGCTAGCACAACGTTTATATACCCATGGATGAGTAATGCAGGAATCAAATCAGGATTTACCACATACTCCAATCTGGAGTCTTGGGATCATCACAGTGTTTTAATATTGTAAAACGTAACTAATAAAAGATGCACACAGAACAATTGAATGAGCTTTCTAAACTTGGGGTCCTGGTATACAGCAAACTAACTGTCCTGGAGCTCCACAGCAGCTTCTTTACTGTACGGTGTCTTCCCATTGATTTGTTTCTCATTCAGGGAGTCAGACAGAGAACATCATCCAAAACAACACAAGCTACATGAATACACTGGAGAGTGGAGTACAGATGTATCCGCACCTGTACAATCACTTGCAAAGAGTAATTAAGCCACAGAGGTACTGTGTGCCAGATGTTTATGAAACTGTTCTTTACTCAGCCACCAGCATTGTGTTTACGGTAAATGCGAGGAGCGCAACACATTTACAACCCGACCTACTGCAGTGTAGAAAAACAGTATAACGTTACTCAGCCTTTTCAAACATTATTCAGACATGAAACATCCTGTGCACATGAGAAAATGTTTTGCTGCATTCATGTCATGTGTGCAACTTTTTGTCCATGTGTTTCTAAAGCTGTGCAGAATGAGTGAAACTCTGTAGACTGATCAGATCTGTACGGTTTCTCTCTAGTGTGAATCCTCTTTTGTGTTTTCAGATGTGTTAACTGATTAAACCTCTTGTCACAGTGTGAAACCTCTACAGTCTCTCCGGTGTGAATTGTCTGGTGCAGTTTCAATTTTGGAGCAGTAATAAAAGCCTTCTTACACTCAAGCACATATACTCTTTTACACCAGTGCGGAACTTCATGTGTTCCTTAAGGTTTGCTAATCGATTTAAACTCTTCCCAAACTGAGTGCATGTGAATGGTTTCTCCCCAGTGTGGGTCTTCATGTGTTTATTAAGGTCTGAGGAGTTGCTGAAACTCATCCCACACTGAAGCTGCGGTCACACTAGACAAAAACTGGTGTGTTTGTTTAGGTGTGATGATTGGCTGAAACTCTGTCCACACTGAGCGCATGTGAATGGTTTCTCTCCAGTGTGGATCCTCATGTGTTGATGAAGGTTGGATAATTGGCTGAAACTCTTCCCACACTGAGTGCATGTGAATGGTTTCTCTCCAGTGTGGATCCTCATGTGTTTATTAAGGTGTGATGAGCAGTTAAAACTCTTCCCACACTGAGTGCATATAAATGGTTTCTCTCCAGTGTGAATCCTCATGTGTTTATTAAGGTGTGATGATTGGCTGAAACTCTTCCCACACTGAGTGCATGTGAATGGTTTCTCTCCAGTGTGGACCCTCATGTGTTGATTAAGGTGTGATGAGCAGCTGAAACTCTTCCCACACTCAGTGCATAAGAATGGTTTCTCTCCAGTGTGGCTCATCATGTGTAGATTAAGATATGATGATTGGCTGAAACTCTTCCCACACTGAGTGCATGTGAATGGTTTCTCTCCAGTGTGGATCATCATGTGAATCTTAAGATGGTCTTTTCTTCCAAAACTCTTTCCACACTGAGCGCAGGTGAAATGATTCTGGTCTCTCCTTTTCAAAATGCCATCAGTCTGTAAATGAGTTTTTTCCTCACTTTTGACATGATGTTCCTCCTCTTTACCCTCCTCATTCTCTTTAATTAGGTCTGAAATAGATAAAACATTAGTTTTCATTAAGTCTTAAAAACTCTCACTAAAAGCTGAAAAGTGAAAAGACACTGGAAACATTGGCTACACACACTGTAATTTTGATGCATGTTAAATGTAAAATAAATCAGATCATATTGTTTGGTCCATTAATGTGTACATATTTAAGCAGATTCAATTCAGTTCATCTTTATTTATCTAGTGCTTTTACAATGTAAATTGTGTCAAAGCCGCTTAACATAGAAGTTATAGTAATTTAAAACCATGTCAGTCCAGTTTTCAGAGTTTTTACATAATTGATCATAAAAGTAATTTTGGTCATATTAATAAGACAGAGATTAGAAATCTGTAAGTGGCCTTTTTTATTCATAATTACAACAACATGTTTTTCTAAAATTTGTAAAGCAGACAGGGAATGCTTGTTCATTCTGTGCCTGACTGGTAAACGCATCAGAAAAAAGTTATGGGGTAACAGCTGAACAAACTATGAACAAAATGCTGAATATTTGCCTCAGAGACATGAGACATAACCGTACAGCATCTGAATAAAGGCTGGAATGTGAACTTTTCACTTGTGTGCTGTTGGGTCATTTTCATCCATTCTGGGGTGATTTTGAGGCTCAGACTGATATTTGGGGACATCTTATTTTGACATATTCTGGAAAAATGCTTTAAATAAATTTTTTTTTAAAAACTCAATACACTCTGGGCAAATGTACTTTTTTCGTTATATTCATGGCTGTTTTTTCTCAATTGGCCTCTATTATAACAACATTTTTTGATTGCAAAGCCATGACAGCATATAATCATGCATTCATGATTATTGGTGTTTTCTGTGATGACAGTAAACATTGTTTAGTTGGTCTCCACCCATAG